TTTGCCTTCTGGTTTTCTGGGATGTGAAAACAATGTATGATTTTCTTTGTTATTTCCTTTTGAAAATTAATAAAAAGAGTATTAAAAAGTCAATACCAGTGCAATGTACCATGAATTGGGCCTGGAAGTAAATTGGGACTCAGTTTAGATGGAAAAAGACTGGAGTGATATGGTTCCCCATGTCCCACTCCAATCAACATTCTGCCTGCAACATTCTGTACCAACTGTAGCTTCTGGACAGTTTTCAATAGCAGTCCCTTGTAGAGTGCACTGCTGTAATATAATCTAGATATTATCAGGGCATGCACCATGGTAGCAAGATCTCTCCTGCCCAGGGACAGCTGCAGCTGGCTAACCAGGTAAAGCTGTTGAAAGGGATGCTATTTACCTCCATGCAATGAAAAACTACAAATACCATTTCTAAACATTAAGGCTCTATTAACAGGAAAGCATGTTTTCCCACCAGGCAGTTGGCAATGCTAGATTGGGTCCATAAGATGGCCCAACATCGCTGAGTTCTATTCATGCATTCATTCATTCATTCAATTTATACCCCTCCCTCCCCGACAAGCAGGCTCAGGGCAGCTTACATAAAATTCAACACATAAATAACAGTTATAAAACAATCTTAAAACAGTCATAAAACAATTCTCAGGGCTCTTTCACACATGATGAATAATGCACTTTCAGTCTACTTTTTGTACTGGATTTTACTGTGTGAAATGGTAAGATCCACTTGCAAATGATCACTGAAGTACATTGGAAGTTCTATGAGCAGGATGTGGTCCTGTGTGAAACAGAGTTTTTTCCGCGGCTACATCTGCCTTGTGGAACCAGCTCTCCATTGAAATAATGATGTCAATCTCACTACTTAGTTCTTGTAAAGGTTATGTAAACTGCCAACCCTTTTAAAGTGAGTTTCATTGGTGAATCACATGGTGGCATGTTTATGGTTGGTTTCTCCAAGAAACTGTGGTTATGTCATTGTTGTAAATGATATTTTTGTCTGGTATCAATTATTAATTTTTAGGGAATTGTATATTTTATTATATTATAAACAACCTTTCATTCTAGAAAAGGCAAGTAATGAATCCCTCAAGAACTTGACTTGGATGGCCCAGGCTAGCTCTATCTCATCAGATCTGGACTGCTAAACAGGGTTGGCCCTAGTCAGTATTTGAATGGTACACCACCAAGGAAGGCCAGGGTTGCTATGCAGAAGCTGACACCAGTAAGGCACCTCTGTTCATCTCTTGCCTTGAAAACCCTATGGAGTTGCCATAAGTTGGCTGTGCCATGAGTGATCTGCAATTTGACAGTGCTTCCCACCTGGAACCTAAACATAAACATTTTGAATTGGTTCCCATTGGAATGATTCCCACTAGAGTATGACCTTGGGGGCTGGGTCCACATTTCAGTGATGTGCAACAACACAATGAATCTCCTTGGAGATGTTATCTCAGAGGTCTCCACAAAAACAAAGGGGAATGATAGGAGGTATCCTAATCAGGGTATAAAAGTATCTTTTGTGACACCTATAAAAGAAATGGAGAAAAGGAACAACAGCTGGATTTGCATAGAAGGCATGAGAGGCACAATACCTTGCATTTCAGGCCAGCAAAAAAGATTATCAGAAACAGAAGGGAGAAGGGAAAAAACCCAGAAAAGAGAACAAGAGTAACCAGGTGTTTCTCTTTGCAACAAACGCTCAATAGAATGAGATAACCCTAAAACATTATATAGGTAAGCACTGTTTCTTAGCTGATTATGATGCTACCTTTGATTTGCAAATGATATCAGCAAATTCTTTTCATTTAATGCATTAGGAAGAATTGTCATTTGCTATCCGAAGGGGACCTCACTCAGTTAATTCCACCTCCTTAAAACAGTTTCTCGAGTTTTCCAATGCTGTACATAGCCAGTGACCAGGCACATGAACACATGAAGCTGCTTCATACTGAATCAGACCTTGGTCCATCAAAGTCAGTATTGTCTATTCAGACTAGCAGCGGCTCTCCTCAGGGTCTCAGGCAGAGGTCCTTTCATGTCACCTACTGCCAGATCCTTTAACTGGAGATGCTGAGGATTGAACCTGGGACCTTCTGCATGTCAAGCAGATGCTTTACCACTGAGCCATGGCCCCTCCCCAAATAGAAGTGTTAAACTTACATTGCCCTCTATGCCATTGTCCACTCTTCTGTTTTCTTAATCAGCACTGTCATTTCCCTTAATGTTCCATAAACCCAGAAGACAAAACTACTGCTTAGCAGCACATAGTAAAGGCTTAGTTCTCCAGCTAAGTCACTCATATAATTCATTGGTATGGCATAAAAGAAGAAGAAGAGATTGGATTTATACCCCACCCTTCACTACCTGAAGGAGTCTCAGAGCACTTTACAGTCTCCTTTCCCTTCCCCTCCCCACAACAAACACCCTGTGAGGTAGGTGGGGCTGGGAGAGCTCTCTCAAGACCTGTCCTTGAAAGAACAGCTCTGAAAGAACTTGTAACTGACCCACGGTCAAACCAGCACCTGCACGTGGAGGAGCAGGGAATCAAACCCAGTTCTCCCAGATTAGAGTCCACGTTCCTAACCACTACACCAAATTGGCATAATGAGGGGGGTACCAATCTACCACTCAGTATTAGCAGTGTGGGACCTGGCTTCCTGGTCCCATTTGTACATAGTTATTACCAAGCCCATATGACAATGAAACATTGGAAGATCATGGGTGTAGAATGCTTGGGGGTAACAAAATAATCAGTACAAGCTGCATCTTGTTGAATGATGTAATGATAGCATTATCACTTACGAGAATCTTGGGCAACTCTCTGTGGTAGGCTGGGCTGATACTTCCCTTGTGCATATTGAGTCAGAATTATGTACTATTTTATACTAAATGGGGTGGCTAATGATTCATACATGCAGGTTTCATGGATATTAAAAAATCACGTGTCTGCTCAATAACAGCATAATAAAATAGGATGGTAAAAATGCATTTTACTGATAAAAATACATTTACTATCCGCCAGTCACTTTCTATACGAACAGTTGAGTTAAGAGTAACCAGGTGTTTCTCTTTGCAACTAACACTCAATAGAATGAGATATCCCTAAAACATTCTATAGGTAAGCACTGTTTCTTAGCAAATTAAGATGCTTCCTTTGATTTGCAAATTATATCAGCAACTTCTTTTCATTTAATGCATTAGGGAGAACTGTCATTTGCTATCCAAAGGGGACCTCACTCAGTTAATTCCACCTCCTTAAAAAAGTTCCTCGAGTTTTCCAATGCTGTACATAGCCAGTGACCAGGCACATGAACACATGAAGCTGCTTCATACTGAATAAGACCTTGGTCCATCAAAGTAATTATTGTCTATTCAGACTAGCAGCGGCTCTCCAGGGTCTCAGGCAGAGGTCCTTTCATGTCATCTACTGCCAGATCCTTTAACTGGAGATGCTGAGGATTGAACCTGGAACCTTCTGCATGTCAAGCAGATGCTTTACTACTGAGCCATGGCCCCTCCCCAAATAGAAGCGTTAAACTTACATTGCCCTCTATGCCATTGTCCATTCTTCTGTTTTCTTTATCAACACTGTCATTTCCCTTAGGTAAAGGTTCCCTTGCTCAAAAGCCAGTCGAGTCTGACTCTAGGGTTGCGGTGCTCATCTCCGTTTCAAAGCCGACGAGCCAGCGCTGTCTGAAGACATTTCTGTGGTCATGTGGCTGGCATGACTAAACACCAAGGTGCATGGAATGCTGTTACCCTCCCACTGAAGTGGTACCTATTTATCTACTTGCCATTTCTTGCTTTTGAACTGCTAGGTTGGCAGGAGCTGGAACTAGAGACAGGAGCTCACTCCATCACGCGGCACACTTGGGTCTCTAACTGCTGAACTACTGACCTTCCACAGCCTGCAGTTCAGCGTCTTAACCATATGAGCCAAGGCTTAGTTCTCCAGCTAAGTCACTCATACAATTATTGGTATGGCATAAAAGAAGAAGAAGAAGAAGAGATTGGATTTATACCCCACCCTTCACTACCTGAAGGAGTCTCAGAGCACTTTACAATCTCCTTTCCCTTCCCATTACCACGACAGACACCCTGTGAGGTAGGTGGTGCTGAGAGAGCTCTCCCAAGACCTGTCCTTGAAAGAACAGCTCTGAAAGAACTTGTAACTGACCCACGGTCACACCAGCAGCTGCATGTGGAGGAGCAAGGAATCAAACCCAGGTCTCCCAGATTAGAGTCCACGTTCCTAACCACTACACCAAATTGGCATAATGAGGGGGGTACCAATCTACCACTCAGTATTAGCAGTGTGGGACCTGGCTTCCTGGTCCCATTTGTACATAGTTATTACCAAGCCCATATGACAATGAAACATTGGAAGATCATGGGTGTAGAATGCTTGGGGGTAACAAAATAATCAGTACAAGCTGCATCTTGTTGAATGATGTAATGATAGCATTATCACTTACGAGAATCTTGGGCAACTCTCTGTGGTAGGCTGGGCTGATACTTCCCTTGTGCATATTGAGTCAGAATTATGTACAATTTTATACTAAATGGGGTGGCTAATGATTCATACATGCAGGTTTCATGGATATTTAAAAAATCATGTGTCTGCTCAGTAACAGTGTAATAAAATAGGATGGTAAAAATGCCCTTTACTGATAAAAATACATTTCCTATCCCCCAGTCACTTTCTATACGAACAGTTGAGTTCTATAGTTGAGTGGCTAAAAATTGACAGTGGCGTTTTTCAGAGACAAACTCAGTTCTGTAGATGTCGGTATCCTGGTCTTGTGAAAACAGACAGCACTGACATGGCTGCCTCCTGTCTCATAGAGCATCCATTTAAAGGCAGACCAAGAAAAAAGAGTGGATGCCAATATCAGCAACATTACTGTGTACGAAATTAACACCCATGCTTTATGTGGTAGTTGATGTGACTTGCTTGGTATTTCTTTTCTCTAGAAAGAAAACAAAAAAAAATGGCCATTGGAGATGGGACAAATCAAACCATCGTTATAGAATTAATTCTTCTAGGATTTGGTGATCTTCAGCATCTAGACATGGTTCTTTTTCTGCTGTTTCTAGTGATATATATCTTTACCATGGTTGGGAACATTCTCATCATAGCATTAGTTGTATTAAACCCTAATCTTCACACACCCATGTACTTTTTCCTTGGGAACCTGTCCTGCTTGGAGACGTTCTACACATCAACCATCTTGCCCAAAGTTATTGTCATCTTCCTGACTGGGGAGAAAGCCATTTCTATTCCTGGCTGCATTGCCCAATTCTATTTCTTTGCTGCACTTGTAGTTACAGAATGTGGCCTCCTAGCCATGATGTCTTACGACAGGTACACAGCAATATGCAAACCATTACATTATTCAACCTTGATGAATATGAAGGCTTGTCTTTTCATGGCAAGTGGGTCATGGCTTAATGGGTTTCTGGCAATGTCAGTAATGATGTATCTGATGACAAGGTTGCCCTTCTGTGTCCCCAACGAAATTGACCATTTCTTTTGTGACCTTACCCCTGTAGCGAGAATCTCCTGCAGTGAAGCACAAAGATTTGAACTGATGGGATTCATATTCTCAACCATATTTACCCTGCCTCCCTTTTTATTGACTCTCACATCATACATGTTTATCATCATTGCCATCTTGAGGATCCCATCAACCACTGGCAGGAAAAAGGCCTTCTCCACATGCTCTTCTCACCTTCTTGTGGTTACAATCTATTATGGGACTCTAATCACTGTCTATGTGCTCCCAAATACTGAAAATATACGGAAGCTAAACAAAGTGTTCTCTGTTTTTTACACCATCCTTACACCCTTAATCAATCCCCTCATATACAGCCTGAGGAACAGAGAGGTGAAAGAGGCTCTTAGGAAATCTATTGGTAAACTCATTCATGGCATAAGACCCCAGAAATTCAAATCTTTGTCTTTAGAATAGTATAAAATGGTCAATACTGAAATCTCTATCCTTTTTTCTCACTTCTTGTGGGCAAATATGTGGTGATTGGATAGGAAAACATGTATTGTTAATAGTATTTTGCTGCATCCTTTCCTAATTTGATTCCTATGCAGGTGTTGCAGATTTGCAAAGATCCAGCTGCTGATCACATCAAGGCCAAGGATTCCAGTAGGAAATATGTTCTTTTATGAATGATGCTTAGGGTTTTTCTCTAATACTACACATTTCCCCATGACTCAAGGTAGCTTAGAATACATAATAAAAACATCCAGGTAGCTGTACCAAATGGGCACTCCCATCAAACATTCGCCCTTGTATTGCCTCAGATTTCCCCTCCACTTCCCCTATGAATTTCCATTCCCGGTATGTTCTGGGTAGCCTTTAGGTAGCATGTCACTCTTCTTACATGGTAAATAAATTTTATTATTATGCCGTTGTCCCACCTTTTTACTGTTGGATACTTTGTCAGTTCCTACCCCACCTAAGGAACTGTGCTTGAGGAGGGTTTGTTGTACTAGGAATTTTCCTTCAGAAATGCTCACCTAGGCACACTTAAAATTGAAACAGAAGTCAAATTTATTTGAACAAACAGGCAGGGGATGGAAATTATATTTACAGGTGAGTTTTGGTTAGGATTGGTAGAGAGAGGTTTAAAAATATATATACCAAACTGCTTTTATACAACACTAGAGATATTCAGAGAGTTATTTTTCCTGGTTTACTTTGGTTTGATGTTGTTAGTGATAGTTTACTGATTTAATGCTGTTACAGATATTAATAGACTGTCTACTTTTGAACTTGTTACTGGATGATCACACAAACCTGAGGTTTTATTATGATTTAACCCTATGTTTATAGACCAGGGGTTTTCCTATCTGCCCCTTTTCCTCTGGCCAGATTGCTGTTATCTTCTCCTTAAGAGCAATAACCTCTTTTGACTTGCCTGAGGGACCTCCATGCCTCCTCAAACCTTTTGTCAACCCCCTATCTGCCAGAAGGACAGTCTCTGTAAATTGGTTAATAAGCATCCATATTGAGAGTGACTAATTCTCCACTCAAGTAGTGTTTTTGTTTTGGTTTTCAGACAAGGAGATTCCTTCCACTCCTTGAATAGGGGAGTTTCTGATACATATTTGCCAGAATCACTTCCACTCCTTGAATAGGGGAGTTTCTGATACTTATTTGCCAGAATCACTGTCTTCCCCCTAAGACTGGCCCTTTCTGCATATTGTTCCTAATCCAGTTTCAGTCTGCTGTGGTGCTGGCTCCAATTTGGCTTGTGGTAAAAGCTTGCCTTCTGCATCAGACCATCCTTGACACCATCCTGTGCCCCCTGTCAGCACCTCCAGTGAAAAGAGACTGCCTGCCCACCCAAGGGGCTTCTCCCCCTTCCTCTCTGGAGAGAAATAAAAGGTAGAAGGGGAGATGGAGTCCTGTGCCCATCAGTGCCTCCACTGAAAGAGACTGCCCGCCTGCCCAAGGGGTTCCTCCCCCCTTTCCTCGTTGAAGAGAAATATTAAAAAGTGGAAAGGGGGGTGGGATCCTGCTCCACCTCCATGCATTTGCAGAGCTGGTGGTTGCCAGTGTGAGGGGCTCTCCCCCCTTCCCTATGGAGGGAATAAAAGGGAAAAGGGGGAGAAGTGGAGGAGGGTGCACATCTTGCAGAAAATTAAGAACATAGGACTGCCACCTGGTGGATGATCACACCTAATTGGGGGGGGGGAGAGAAGGAACACAAACAATCCACATCAAATTGTCTGCTTATAGTTCATGGCGGATCAGTGGTGGGGAGTATCAAATGGCCCGGGGCAAAACAAAATCCAGAAAGCTCGGGGAAATGCCATTGTGACCTTGTGGTCACCACTAGATGGCATTAAAATGATGTGGATGGTCAAACCTGAGTTGGCGTGAAAGGAGGATGGGAGCAGCATGCTATGCAGAGGGATGATGTGGAATTGGTGACACAACAGCAGGACAAAAGCTATGTGAGATAGAGGCAGTAATAAGAGGGGAACTAGACAAGATTAAAACAAAAACAACAAAAAGCTAGCTGGATCCAACCCAAGATTTATCATCTGTGTGGGAGAAATCATAACAGAAACTGAAACTTTCAAACTGAATTAGTATGTCCATGAGATTCAGCAAGAGCCTTGTTCTGAATCCCTTATGTATAAGACCTTTGATAGCTGTAGGGTGTATACCTTGAACAACAGCTTTCAGCTGTTATGCTCCTTCACCTTGCTACCTGTACCAGGGTTATTAACCCCTGAGGGGCATGATGGTATTTCCAGCCATGCAACTGGATGTAACATCACTATGTTGCCAGATACTCTCAAGATTCACTTGAAAATCTTTGGTCAAACCATAGAATTTGGGGTGAACACTAAAGCATCCATTGATATGGTGATGTGACTTCTGGTTCTGTGAATATTCAAGATTCATAGTTCAGCCTTATGAAGAAGATCTGAAGATCATCCTACAGGGGGTCAGCTGAAGGACTTGTAGCTAGCATAGCTAGACTAGGGACTTCCTACTTTTTCAAACTGTGTCCTTTCTGTCTCCTGATTGGCTCTTCTGGAAACTTCCTGCTCCTGGAGAGCTTCCTGTTGCTCTTGTTCCTCTCACAGAAGTTAAGTTAGATAGTTAACTCTCTCTGTCTCTTCTATGCTCTATCAAAGTTTGTTCTTCTTTAATAAACCCACTTATTTTTCTCTAAACAGTCAGTCCTCCACTTCCTTGTATATTTAAACTCTGCTTACAGGGTTATGGGTCCAGCACTCTTCCACTGCACCACTTGGCTAACAGAAATGATATCATGGTGTTGTGGGATGCTGATCTGGCCCCCACATTCCCCCATTACTTACCCAAACAAGGGCAAGCAATGGGGGTGGTGGTGGAGTTCCCCTCTCTTTTCTTGGAAATAACAACCCTACCCATACCACCTGCACTCTGTTTTCAATGTAAGCTTACTAGATTGCGCTCTGAAGGTGCTATAAGTTGCTATCTAGGCTGCACCATCAGTTCTGCCTAAGAACTCAGTCAGTTGATCACAAAGGCTAATCCTGCCTACCAGGCCATAAAGCTCTAGCTTCTGATTTTATCTCTCAGCTTGAGTAGCTTGTGTTACATTTTCAGAAATCCAGCCAGCTATTGAGTAGGTGGGGGAGAGTTCTATAACATTGCATGACACCTGTTTGCACTTTTCTGGGGCTCTGAAAGGGCAACAGGGGCTACTTTTAAGTTGTGCTTTCCTCTTCAGGGTTCAGCATTCCTTATACCCCAAACAAACCACTTGCTACTACTTTCAGTCACTACCATACTCAAGTATACACATTGTGTAGTTTTATGGAATTGTCACATTTGAGGTTCATTGCCTTTCTAGTTTGAGTTATTTAATTTCTTCTCATCAAGGGTATGTGTTTTACTGCACTTTTTAATTCCCATATAATCATACTGCTAAAAAAAAAGTAACATCATAAGTATTGTTTTGAAGGACCTAAATAATTTAGTCCCATGTGCTGCAACTGCAAAAACAATTTCATTAATTAACATACACAATAGATCACGAAGGACATATATCCCGTGAGGGACACACCTTGGAAAATATATGCAAACGGCAAAGGAGTACAGTGAAGACAAAAGATGTAGCAGAATATGGAATCTTCATCTTCCCTATGGAAGGCTGAAAAGGTATGTTGGAAGCGAATACTTTATTGCAACCTATGGATATAGACAAACATGGAATGGCTGTCCCATTATAAGCATCTCCTCCTTTAAATTAAATAAGCTACCATATTGGAGGTGTATAGGTAATAGATGCTCAATAGTTAGGAAAATATGGACAGCATCACTCCCTTTGTCAATAAATTCATACTGAAATGTCTATCAGAAAGGCAGCAAAAACTGCTAGTCTCAGGTCTTATCTGGTATACAAATGAATATGGATCCAACCAGGGTTTCTCTTTTTTCATTCCATCTTATACAGTTCTCCTCCTTACCAAAGCACCATCCCACATGGCTCTTGTCCATGCAAGTCCCAGTGTAATCTTTTGGGGTGGTCCCTCCCGTTCTCAACAGCAAACAAACAAACCCTGTCTGGATCCAACTCATGGCTTTGCAATTTAATTAAAACAAAAACCCCACTGACCCAATGAACATGATCAGGGAGGTCTAGAAGGTTCAGGGTAGTTGAGTATGAAGAGGAAGAAAAAAGAAGAAAGCAGAGGGGAAATTGACTTGTGAAGCCCATAAAACTTATCCTTCTCTCTCAGGTAACCTGCTGCCACCGCCTGACCTTTGTAGGAATTGCCCACCAAGAGGGTCAGAACTCCCAGATTCCCTTCCAAGTTTTGAGGCCTTGCCTCTGTGTCTCCCACTGCCCAGTGCCTGATCACCACAGGGACAGTTTACTGCCTTGTGCTCCCCTGGAGGAATAGCCACTTGCCAACCAGTCTTCCCACTGGCACTCCTTTTAAAATAGTGTGTCCAAAATGGTGGAGGTTTATGTGGCACAGAGAACCACTACCAGCATCAAAAGTTATAAAGTATTTATTAAAAAGAAAATGTTCACAAACATACTTTTAGCACAGCACCAGATTGAGTAAGGGATTTTAAAAAATGGGTAAAACACAGTTCCTCTGCCCCTCTTTCTATACATGCTTTATCAGATATTAAAATATAGGACAAGCTCTTTAGCTTTAGGAACTTACAGATCTCTAAAGAGTCCAATTACCTTAAAGCTTCCTCCAGCTCTCCAGGACAGCACATGGTTAAATGGCTGCCTCTTCCAGACCTCAGTTAAGAATTCTGTCTTCTCTGATGAACTCAGCACAAAAGAGCCCTCCTCCTTGCTGCAAAGACTTTTTCTTCTTTTTTTTCTATATATAGGGGGAGACCCTAAAACTAAGCACTAAAATTGATGATTCAATCCCTGTAGAAAGGCAGAATCAGCACCAAGAAAGAAAGGCAAAACCAGGACC